CCCAGGAGGACAACAATCACACTTTGTCTTGGATTGGACTATTTTGGGAGCACAAGTCCCCAGCCTGAGCTATCTCTGAAATGATGGACTAACACAACCCGAAGAAAGCAGCAACGGAACCAACGGAGACCTTCTTGCCAGAAATGTGCCGAGCCTAGCCATAACATCAGGTCCAAAGTAAAGAGGTAGGCTGGAAGAATAAGCAAACAAAAAATGAACCCCATCGTAAAAAGCTATTATGATGACAGGGAAACTCAAGAAACAAACCCAGGATAAGAGTGACTTCAAAACATCTATAAGCAAAGCCTCAACGGAAAAGAGCAGAGATTAAGGCACTTCCCCAGGGGCACACAGCTCATGAGTGTCTGAGGCTGGTTTTGAACTCAAGTCTCTCTGACTCCATGCCCAGTTCTCCACGCACTGCACCACCTACATACACATAAATAAGACACGCAAGCAGAAGTTTATACAACAATGAGGAGGGTGGGGTAGCAGGCTACATTTGAACCTCAACCCAACTGGTCAAAGGAAAGAAGGGCTGGGGTGGAGGGGGGAGAAGAAAGGGAGAGGAAGAAAAAAGCATTTATATAGTGTCTACTATATGCCAGGCACTGTGCCAAGTGCTTTACAAATATTATCTCATTTGATAATAAACATATACATATACAAACAGAGAGCTGGGGACAGAAATACATTTTACTCAAGATAGGGACAGGAGGGAAAAAGGAGAAAGGAGAGGGAAGACAGATAAGGGAAGGATTAGTTCTAAGCAAAAGGAATTCTAAACATGGAGAGTGAAAGGGTGACATCATAAGCAAATTAGAGGAACAAGGAAATTACCCCTGTTAAATCTGTGGATAGGAGAAAAATCCACATTGTTAAAAACTGTTAAAGGGTCCTCTGAACTTACCTTTTTGAGTTGCCATATTTTCCAGAAACACTGGACCCACAGCATGCAGAGGCCCTGGATGTGTCAAGGACGAAGCCCCCCTCAGCTGACACGTTGTTTGCATCCCAGACTGGACCCTGTGTGTCTCTGAGAGTCAAGATAGGTGCCAGCCCATCTGTGCCAGGCTGGGAAGTTTGCTTGTGCAGCCGGGACCCTGCAGATACGCAGACTATCCTATCTTCATAGTCCAGCAGTTCCCAAAGGAAAGAATTCGGTTTTTGCCATCGCCTTGCTCCTCCCACCTGGGAGGAGTTTTGTCCTTTCTCTACCTTTGCTACACTTTTCTCCGTCTCATGCCATGCACTGTTAGATGGAGTTGTGTGTTTCTTCCTCCTTCCTTTGTCCTGCTGTCATAAATATGCAAACTTCTGTGTGAATTGTGAACTCTTTGGGTTCCACATGCATGCTTATTTTTCTTATAATAAATCTAGTTTTCACATAAGTTTTGTGAAGTTGTGACTGTCTATTGACAATGTCCAAACTAGAGATAGAGAATATTATAGAAAACAGATATGCTAAAGATTAAACATAAGATTATACACAAGATTAAAAAGTTTTTGCACAAATACAGCCAATGAAGCTAAAAAAGAAACAGGTCAATGAAGGAAAAATCTTTGCAGCAAGTCCCTCTGATGTGATGTTTAAAAAGTATGAGAGACTAATTTCTGGGTGATTTAATCATTTTATTATAAAGAAGAGGTCAGTGGCACTCTTGAATGCCAAAGACCCCTCATGGTGGTGGGCTCATGGTTTATATGCTTTTGCGGGTATTCCTGAAGGTCGCAATCAACTCTGATTGGCTAACAATTAATGAGAGAATGAATATTACAATGAGAGGTGGGCTATAGTACAATGAGGGTCTTGGGGTACCTGACACTGAGTAGCCAAATCTTGGTCAAAGAGACTTATCAATTTCCCTATCACCTATCTGACAAAGAGGAGAATCCCCACTTTCCCAGACCCGTCTGAATAAACACAAAGAGCAGGAATCCACCCATTGCCTAAACTTAGAATTTCTTTTACTGTCTTTGATTAGATTTTAGCCCAGGTAAGTCTCTGAGAAAGATTTCCTACACTGGTTGATTTCTGAAGGTGGAAGTAGAAAAGGGGGAAAAGCTTGGTCCTGATCCAATAATTAGTTACTAATACAATAGAGAAATAATAATTTCTCTCATTAAGTGCTCAGTCTTAAGATATATTGGGAACAGATTCAAGCTCACAAGAATAACGGCTACTTTCCAGCTGACAGTCAGATAGTCGAAGGAAAGGAGAAGGTAGTTTTCAGAGGAAATCCAATGGAACAGCAGCCAGATGGAACAGTGCTCTCCATCACTAAGAATAGAGAAACGCGAATCCGCACAACCCTAAGGTTCTACCATCTCTTCTTAATTCTGGTGCCTTACCTGTATTAATCATTTCCCATTTATCTTGTATGTAGCCTGCTTTGTATCCATTTGTTTGCACGCCGTCTGCCCCAGTAGACTGTGAGCTCCTTGTGGGCAGGCACCATCTCGTGCCTCCTTTTGTATCCCTAGCACTTGGCACACAGTTGACGATTAATAAATATCTCACACCCAATGGACTGGCAAAGTTGATGTAAAAGGCAAATGTTGGAGGGGCTGAGGGAAGCCAGGTGTATTAATGCACTGTTGGTGGACTTGTAAACTGGTCCAGCCATTTTGGAAAGAAATTTGGAACTATGCTGAAAAAAACTGCACAAGTTATTAAACCCTTTAACCTAGTGATACCACCACTAGGTCTACACCCCTAAGAGAACAAAGGAACAGGAAAAGAACCCACATGGACAAAAATATTTATAGCAGCCCTTTATGTGGTGGCAAAAACCCAGAAAAGTTAAAGGGTGCTTATCAACTGGGAAAAGCTAAATGAGATACGGTATATGAACGTGATGGAATATTACTGGGCTATAAGAAATGATGAAAGGGATGGTTTCAGAGAAAGCTGGGAAGACCTGGATTAACTGATACAGAGTGAAGTCAGTAAAACAAGGGGAAGGATTTATAGAATAATAATGATATTGCAAAGATAAACAACTTTGAAAGACAACACAGTGACTTACTATAATTCCAGAGGACTCATGATAAAACATGCTGCCCACTTCCTGACAGACAGCTGATGGACATGTCTCCTGTGGGATGTTTTGTTTGCTTGTTTGACTACACATTTTTATAACAGGGAT